GGGAATGTCCACAAGTGGTGAGAGGAAGGCTCTGCTTCTGATGGACCCCACGACAAGCAACTCACAACCAAAGCTCCCCCATGTCTCCCCAACAGTGCAACTGCTGCAAACCCTAGGAGCCACCTCTGGGTCCTGAACATGTCACTTCAAGCAAAAGAAGAAAGTCTCAGATTATTAGGGGCTTTTCCCCTCTACCATGGGACAAAATTGCAATTGATGTCTCACTGAGCATGGGACCCATGCCCAGGAGTGCCACTGCAGTGGGTGGCCCCACTTGGGCTTCTGCGCCCTGGGCCTTGTTCAGGTACCTTTCCTGTAGCTGCTACTACTTGGGCATTTGTCTCTCAGAGAGGTTCCATGGAGAGGGGGAATCAGTTTGGTGGCAGGCCAGGCTTTCTGTCTCATCTAGAACATTCCCCCACAAGACTTCCCTAGTCACTGCCTTCTCAGAGCTCCAACTTCAATCAGCAGTGAGGGGACCAGGTGTTACTGGAAACCCAAGATGATAGGTTCACACTGTCCTCACCTGCACCTGCCAGGATGAGAAGGAGACGGTCCCTGCTCCACAGATGAGACCTGAGGCCTAGGAAAGGCCAGTGCCCCTCCCACCCAGGCCTTGCAGAGAGCATACTCCTCCTGCAGAGCGGGGACTAGCAGCACAGGCTCTGGGTCAGAGGGACCTGGGACAGTCTCTAAGCCAACTGAACTTGCTGGCTGCATGTTCACATAATGAGCGGAATCCCAGGTCCCGGTGTTGAGAGGCCACATTAAAGTGCTTTTTTGGCTCAGGGCCTCTGCTGAGTCCTGGGTCCACCATTCCACATGCTTAGATAAGTCATTCCCCACCCCTGGGCCTGATCATACCTGTCCAATCCAAGGGTGAGAGGGTCCAGTGAGGATTCAGTGAGGCCATGGAAGGTCAAGGACTCTGAACACAAATGAAAATAATAGTAGTAGTAGTAGCAGTAATAATAATAATAAAAAATTTGATTTCATAAAAATTTGAAATTCCTGTTTCCTAGGAAGATTTTGTTAATAAAATGAAAAGTTAAGGCACAGCCTGGGGGGAAATAGTCATGCTACATATTTCTGACAAAGGAGTGTCCAGGATATACAAAGAGCTCTTACAATATCTCAACAGGAAGACAAGAGGCCCCATAAGACATTGGCAAAATAAGAATAATAACCGTGATAGCATAAGCTCACTGTAGCTCATTCTTACCAATTACCATAACTAAAAGCTACACCCAAGAACTCTAAAAAGTAGATTGAGGAGAAGAGCAAAACTTGGACATGGATAAGAGAGTCTCCCCTCCCTCCAGATTCATGCCCATTCCCAGCTTTTGCTTTGGTGCTGGGGATTGAACCCCAGGGTGCTTTACCACTGAGCTATATTCCCAGCCCTAACTTATTTTTTTATTTTGAGACAGGGTCTTGCCAAGTTGCCCAAGCTGGGCTTGAACTTGCTACCTTCCTGCCTCAGCTCCTCCACCCCCACCCTGCGGAGTAGCTGGGATTACAGGAGTGTGTGCCATGGTACCTGGCTCAGGTTCTCTCCCTCCCTCCCTCAGCTTTGCCCAGAAAGCCAGATCCAACTGCACATAGCAAGGAAGTGGTGGCAGAAGAATACTGCAGAAGAAACCCCAACTTTCTGACCCAAAGAACCAGGACTGGGGCCTCTGATGGATCGAGTATGAGGGAAATCCAGGAAGGTAAATGGCAAAGTTGTTCCCTAATTCTGTGAACAAATGTACTTTAGACTGAGCTTAACCCCTGAGCTAAGCATCAATGAAAAAGACCCGAACCAGCACAGCAAAGCTTTGAAAACCAAACTAAGATCTAAACCATGTGCACACATTTTTAACATAATTGCTAAATAATGCACACTCAGGACAGACCCAAATCAATTCAGCAAAGGCTTAGGGAACTAAACTGAGAATTCAACCACTGTATACAGAAGGCAAGGCGGAACTTGCAGCTTGAATCTAACTAAATTGATTATCTGCCTAGCAAAAAACATCAACTTTCTCCAGAAGATTATTCATAGAACCCAAAGTCGACATATTCTCAAAATTTAAGACAGTCCATAATTATCTACCATGCAAAGAGCCAAAAAAAAAAAAATGTGACCAATTCTCAAGGGAAAAAGTTAACAGATGCTAATCCCAAAGTGAGTAGGGTTGAAGTTACAAGACAAAGACTTCAAAAAAGCTATTCAAGTATGTTCCATCAGGTCAAGAAAAACACTTTGAGAATGAATAAGAAAATAATTCTCTATAGAAATTGTAAAAATTAAAAAAAGAACCAAATGGAAATGTTAGGATCAAAAAATATAAAATCCAAGCTGGAAAATTTCAGTGGATGATTTCAAGAGAAGAATCATCTGCTATTGATGGTGGCAGCAAGAGGAGAGAGTCTGTAAACTTAAAGGCATAGCAAAAGAAATTACACAATCTCAAGGAAAAAAAAAAGAGAAGAAAAGAATCAGAGCCTCAGAGAGCTCTGGGGGAAACATTTATAAAACTCTAACATGCATGCCATGGAGTCCCAGAAGGAAAGGAAAAATAGTCTGGAAAAAAATTTTGACATAAAGGCCTAAAGTACCTCAAATTTCGTGAAAAACATAAATTGACCTATTCAAGAGGCTCTGTAAACCCCCAAAAGATAAGGACAATGAAAACCATGCTTAGAAACAGCATAAAGTGCTGAAAACAAAGATAAAGAAAAATATCTTCAAAACATTTAGAGATCCAATGGTTCAGGAGGCTGAGGCAGGAGGATCTCAGTTCAAGAGCCAGATTCAGCAACTCAGAGAGGCCCTTGGCAAATTAGCAAGACCGTGTCTTAAAATAAAAAAATAAAAAAAAATGAAAAGGACTGGGGATGTGGCTCAGTGGTTAGGTGCCCCTGGGTTCAACCTGGTATCAAAAAAAAAAATTTAGAGAAAAAGTCACAGAACATGTAGTAGAATAACAACTGTGGTCTGTCTATACAGTGGGATACCACTCAACAACAGAGAGGAGGAAACAATATATTGACTGAAACAACATGGATTACTCTCAAGAGCATTATGGCAAGTAAAAGAAGACAAATAAAAGTATCTACTTTTGATTCTATTTATCTGAAATTCTAGAGAATGTGCCAGAGAGCAGATCAGTGGTAGCCTGGAGATGGGAATGCTGGGAGGGTGGATTATAAAAGTACAAGAGGAAAGTTTAAGTGTTGATAGAAATGTTTGACTATCCTGACTGTAGTGATAGTTTCTCCTGTTTTCTGTAGATGAAAACTGGTCAAATTTACTATTTAAATAAATATTGTAATTTTTTAAATAAAAATTGGACTTAATTGTATCAACTAAGTTATTAAAATGGGTAAAACATTTGAATGCTTAACGAATGAAAAGACACAAATCGACAATGTGCACATGAAATGATTCTCAACATCTTCGGTTGTCAGGAAAATACAGTTAAAACCATAAAGGCACACCACTCGACATCTGCTGGGATGGCAAAAATTAAAAAATCATGGTGAGGATTTAAAGAAACTAGAACTTTTATACATTGCTGTTGGGAATGCAAAAATAACATACCCACTTTGGAAGCAATTAGGCAGTCTCTTATGTAAACATACACTTACTATATGATTGAGCTCTTCGAATTCCAGTTATTTACCTAAGAGAAATAAAAACTACACTCACACAAAATCTTATGCTTAACTATTCATAGCAGCATGATTTGTAATGGAAAAAACTGAAATGTCTATGCACAGATGAGTGGATACAGAAACTGCATTATACCATGCAATGCTGCGCTAGTCATTGATAAAAAGAAGCAAATGTCACGACATGGTAGGGACGAATTTAAAAACATAGTGCTGAAAAAGGAAGCTAGGTATCCCTGAAAGAGTGCCTGCTGCGAGATTCCATTTATTCTAGAATAGTAATATAGTATCCAAAAGCAAATTAGTAGTTGCTTGGGGCTAAGAAGCATCGAGGCATTACTTGAAAAGAGGCATTTCTATTTATTAATTTGGGGACTGTTACATGGGCATATAGATTTGTGAACAGTACCCTTTATGTTTTGTGTGTGCATGTGTGTGTGTGTGTGCGCGCGCGCACGCGCCATTAATAGAGCTGATTTGAAGAATAACTATATAATATGAATTAGTTATATAAAATTAAAGAGGTCCTAATAATATGGTTATGGGTATCAAGAGAGACAAAGAGATGGCTGGAAAAATAAATTCTAGAAACTAACGTGAGTTTATAATGGGGTAACTTTGGTATTTCAAATCAAGTCGGGGGAGAAATGCATCATTCATAAAAGATATTGAGTCAACGGATCATTCAAAGTGCAACGTAACATTGAAGCCTGTTACCACTTACAAAAAGTAAACTTCACAAGGATTTAAAGTTAAGTCTATTAAAAAGTAAAAAAGCAAAGTCAGTTCAGATGGCCCAGCAGCAGGAAGGCAGCAGGGACAGGAGCGGAGGAGGAAGGTGGAGAGATGGGGCACCCTGGTGGGCGGGGGAGACAGGAGAACCCTGCTAGGCCATGCCTTGCTGGGGTATAGCCCTGGGGAATCCTGGGGGGTGCAGATTCCCCTGCTCACTCCTGAGGCTAGACACAAGCGCCAGCCCTCTTTCCTGAGGCTCAGTCCTCCCGTCTATGAAGTGGCTCAACTCTGGAGACTTGAAAGCTTCTCCTAAGGATGTCCTGACACCATGTGGGAATTGCCCAGGGCGGTTGCTGACACAGAGATGGTGTCAGCAATACTGGTCCCTTCCCTCTAAGCAGGAGCACCAGGCCTCAGGGACAAGACTGAGATGGTGGCTCTGCAGGAGGAAGAAAACGCTCCACACACCTGTTCTCCCATAACTGTCTCCGTTCACAAGTGACCACAGAGAACCAGCAGCTGAAATCAAGTGACGAGGGCTGAGACCCATGTCTAGGCCACGGCCCTGAGGGGACTGAGAGGCTGGGGTGCTGAGGGGAGGGGACATCCACACAGCCCTGGGCAGCTCATTCCAGCTGTCTGGGACCTCCCTTCACCTTCCACTGAGGTGCCCGTCACCCAGAAGTCTCTGGGCAGAGTCCCTGGGGGAGCTCACTGGCCCCGCCCGGGAGAGCTGATCTAATGCCAGAAGATGTTTGGGTTCTCTTTGTTTCCCCTGAATCTCTTGGGGGAAATCTGAATGAAGAGGCAGGTGAGGACCACAGGTGCTGGACGCTTGGGCAGGAGTCTCCATGGTAACAGAGCCATCTGGCTTTCTTGCCTGGCACCGGGCCTTGTGACTTCATGGTGGAATCTTCTCTGGGCAGGCAGAGGGGCGTTTGCCAGGGCGAGGAGGAGGAGGAGGAGGCCTGTGAGGTGCTTTCTCTTTCCCATCTGAGTCTGAAGATCAGGCTTAATTATCAGGCCCCGGGGGACACTGCTGGCTCCCACACAGGACACTGTGGTGGAGCCTGCTGGAGAGTGTGAGTGGCACTGTGCCTGTGCCATTTTACTGAGGGCCTTCTGAGGAGTCTGTGGAGTCACACCTGGCCTCTTGCCATCCGGGACTCGCTGGTGAAGTGGAGCCAGGGCCCCCGTGGGAAAGACTGAGGTGTGGGAGAGTGCTGCCCACGCCATGGGGGAGTCCACCCCAGCCAACACCCTCTGGATAGCAGAAAGGGTAAGGCCTTCAGTGAGCCTCCCACGGAGGGGGCCGTGGTCATGACAACAGGTTTCTCCCCACAAGGCCGAACTGGGAGAACCCTTGAGCCAAATTCTCTCCTTCAAACAAAGAAGCCATCCAAACCACTTACATGTGTTAGGGCTGCCATAACAAGCCACCACAATTTGGTGGCTTAAAAAAACCCTGATTTGCTGGGCACAGTGGTGCACGTCTCTAATCCCAGTGGCTCCAGAGGCTGAGGCAGGAGGATCTCGAGTTCAAAGCCAGCCTCAGCAAAAGCGAGGCCCTAAGCAACTCAGTGAGACCCTGTCTCTAAATAAAACACAAAATAGGGCTGGGGATGTGGCTCAGTGGTTGAGTGCCCCTGAGTTCAATCCTCTGTGCCCACGCCCTCCCCCCCCCCATAAAAAACCCACATGATTTATTCTTTCACAGTTCTGGAGGCCAGAAATCCAAAATCAAAGGAGGATTGGTTCCTTCTTGGGCGCTCAGAGGGAGGATCTGTTTTATGTCTCCGTTCTAGGATGGCTATGACTAACAGCCTTTGGCTGGTGGCTGCATTACTTACTCCAGTCTCCATGGTCACCTGGCCTTCTCCCTGTGTGGCTGTGTCCAAACTTCCCTGACCTGATATGGGCACCAGTAACAGGATGTAGAACCCACCCTAACCAGCATGACTTCATCTTAATCTGGTTCCATCTGTCAAGATGCTATTTAAAATAAGGTCGTGCTCACAGGTACAAGGGGTTAGGAGTCGGGCGTAGCTGACCTGGGACATGCAGCAACATACAAGTCACAGTGCCCAGAGTACAGGCTTTAGAGGAGGGCAGATGAGGCCACAGGCCCTGGTGTTGCCACTCAGCCTAAGGTGAGTCCATCCTGGCAGGCTCCTCAGGATTACCTGGCAGAGAGAGGACCCCGGACTGCAGCGGAGAGTGTTGGGTGGCAGGAACTAAGCAAAGATGGCCCCGGACTGGTACTTGGGGCTCAGAGTTCAGTTCTGGCCCCTGCTCTTGAGGAGCTCTGTGCACCAGCACCTTCCCAGGGTTCTTGCTAAAAGGGAACCTCTGTAGCCAGGCTACATGCAGGAAGTTAGGGCCTAGCACTGACCACATGGGCATGTGGCAGCAGAAGGGGGTTCAAGGCCCCAAGGCCCCAGTGGAGCCAGGGAGACCAGGGACCAGACCACAAGGGGCCCTCCCCTGGGACCCAGAGTCTACGTTGGGACAGCTGAGGTCTCACTCAGAGTCAAGGGCCCTACCGTGTAACCATGAGCTCTGGGAACGACCAGACAGGCAAATAGGCTGGCTTTTCACTCACTTCAAAGACTCCAGACCTCTAAGTCCCCTCAGCCTGAGAAGTTCTCCTTTGCCACCATGTTTCCAAGACATGGCTTCTCCCTCTACCAACATGGAATCTGGCAAGCACTTAGTTTCTGGCCAAGTCCCATTTGATATTCTCTTTCTTTGTACCTCTTTTATTCCACCCACCCTTCTTTAATAAAGTGATATAATAAGCCAGGGAGGTAAGGAAAGTGACCTTGAGCCAAGCACGGAGAAAGCTATCACTTAGAGACAAGGAGAGGTAGGAAGGACCATTAGGAAATGCAAAGGCCCTGTGGCAGAGGTGTGAGTGTCAGGAGAGAAAGGTCAAGAGAAGCTGTGTATGGATGGACTGAACAAAGTAACAGGAATATGAGACAGGCTTAGAATCAACAGATTTGGAAAGGTACCAATTGAGTATCTACTTATGAGCCAGGGGCACCAGATAGGCAAGACCTCCTCAAACACAGAACAGGCAGCCCAGAGACCCAGACAACTCCTTCAGTGAGGGAGAAGAGATCTAAGTCAACTTGGGGGGCCAGGTACCTGGGAAGGGTTTTCCGAGCTGAGAGTTGAGAAGGAGCTTGGGCGTAGCTTCCAAGTGTGGTGTGACTGAGGAACGGTAAGAGGATGGATGGGTTGGGAGGGGATAGCGGGCGAGGACCCATGATGAGGCTGTAGATTTTGGCAGGGCCCGGGTCCCTGGGGCTCTTGGCCCCTCTCACCCTGGCTGGAAGCCATTGCTGCATTTTCACAGAGGAGAACCACAGTTGAGGGTGGGCTCTGGGAGACCTGTCTGACCTCCAATGGGGACAAGACTGGGGAGGCAGCTGGGGTCCAGGAACAGGTGGGACACCCTTCTCTTCCCAGATGTCCCAGAAGAGCTGCAAAAGCCCTTCCACAGCCTCATCCTCTCCAAGTCTCCTGGAGGTGAAGGAGCGGGAGTCCCTGTCCCAGCAATCACAGGCCACCAGTTCAAAGAGCAAGGACTCCCTCAGCAGTCTCGAGTGCCCCCCCAGGACTCTGGTGGCCTCAGAGTACCTGCCCTTCTTTCGCACCTACGAGCAGCTCCAGGATGAGGAGGAGCTGGCCCCACAGGCTGAGTTCTGCAGGGACCCAGGAGGCTGGAGTACCCCAAAGACACCGTTCCCCAAGGACTCGGAGCCACCCGGCGGGTTCTGCCCTTACTTCCGCTCAGAGGAGGAGAGCCTCTCCAGCCTAGCCCCTCCCCACGGGTGGTGCAGGGGCCCCCAAAGCCCACTCCCCAACAGGGAGGCACAGGGTGGCTGTTTCTGCAGGATGACCGTGAGGGACAAGTGCTCTGTGAGTTGAGAGACTGCGGAAGGATGGGGGAGCCCCGGGTCCCTGACATGCCCCAGACTGCTCCCCCAAGGCCCCCACTCCACAGGACCCTGGCCAGGCTCCAGAGGGCTCTCTGGGGCTTTCAGAGTCATTGGTCACCCGTTAAGATTTCGGGTGGAAGAGACTGAATCCCAGCTCTGCCCCTGGTTAGGAAAGTGGCCTGGTGAATGCTGTTCAGCCTCAGCTTTCTTAGAAGGGAAAGGGAGCCATAGTGGCCGCCCTGAGAGCCCCGTGGGCGCTGCACATGGCGACGCACTGAGAGGGCCTGGCCTGGAGCTGAGCTCACAGCAACCTCTGACTTGCCAGACGCCCAGACAGACGCTTCGCTTCACGCGCCTCAGCTCGTTTAATCCCAGTTTGTCCTGTCAGTCATATTATGATTCCCATTTTAAAGATAAGAAAAGTGAGTCTCAAGGAAGTTAAATAACTTGGCCAAGGACACAGACTAGCAAGTAGACAGGCTGGGATTTGGCCCCAACCTATCCCCTATCACCTCACCGATACCTAACACCAGCCCCCCCAAGGCTGGGCCCTGTGAACTGGGCCCACACAGTTGGGGGAGTTGGTAGGTGGCTCTGAATCCCAGACTCTGCCCTCCCCGCTGGTGCCTCCGGATGGGTTAGTGGCACTGCCGGGGGGTGCTTCCCCTTTGGCAAAACCCCCCACCCCACCCCCGACAGCCATTGTGCTCTTGAGGCCGGGCATCTGGGCCTGACGACCATCTTGTGGCCTTCCGCTCCAGGCTGTCTCTGTGGGCTCCCACCTCCTCTCTGGGTCCTCATGCTCCCTGGGCTGCTGCCCCATCCTGCTGGTCTCAGAGGGATGCTCCCGGGACAGCAGCCTGGGCATCACTGTCTGCAGTAGCCATGACCTTGGAGCCGAGGGCCTGGTGCCCTACTACAGAACCCCCGAGGAGGAGCTGCGCACCAGCCCGGGGCCTCCTGTCTCTCAGTCAGGGAGCCTGGGGTCCTCAGGGGAGCTGCCTGGGCCCAGTGCAGCCACACTGTGAGGAGGAAGCGGCCCCTGGACAACCAGCCCCTGGCACCCATGGTCAGTCCTTTCAGTGCGTTACTGACCATAGTTCAGTAGTTTGCCCTGGGAGACAGAGCTGGCCCGGGAGCCCAGACCTCAGGCCTTTATTCCCCCTGCCCGGGGCTGCTAACAGGGGCATCCCACCACCCTGCCCTGCAGAGCCAGCAGGAGGAACCCACCACTGAAGGCCCTCTGCCCTCTCAGTGCCCTGAGCTGACCCATGGGTAACGCTGCACCCTGGGGTTCACCCCAGCAGGCCTGGGGTCTGCCTGACTCCTGGAGGAGCTGAGGTCAGAAGCTCCACCTGGGCTCCTGTTCAGCCGCCCCACTCTCCCCCAGGAAGTAATGCAGACCCCCCCAGGCTGCCCCCACTTGCTCTCCTAGCTAGAAGTACTGTCAGATGAGGAGCGAAGAGCCCAGTTCAAGGGATTCCATCAAGGCTGTCCATCTTCTCTCAGGCCTCAACGGTGCCATCTGTAGCCTGCCCTAGGCTGGGAACAGAGGGGCTGCTGAGCAACGAGGGGTGCAGACACCCAGAGGCTGGTTTTGCAAATAAATCATATCACTACAAGAGTTGGCACTGGTTCTTCGGAGTAACTGCCACAGCTTCCATGTATGGAGCATTTACTATATAGTACGCACTGAACAGAGAACATTTCCATGATCCTTAAAGTCCATTCTACAGATGAAGAAACAGGCTTAGAGAGGTGAAGCAACATACCTGAGCTCTCACAGCAAGAAGTAGAGCTTAGATTCATACCAGCTCTGTCTGGCCTTGGGGCCTAAATCCTTAAGCACTTCCCCATGGCATCCCTCCTATGAAGGGACCAGGAAAAGAGCCACCTGCTGCCCTCCAGGCTTCCCCTGGACCCAGCCCCACCCGATCCTTTGACCCGTTGCCTATGTGTGTTTCCTTCCCATGCCCCTGCCCTTTGAAGCAGCAGGTGGGGACAGAGACTCAGCCCACATCTTCTAGGCCTGGACCCTGTGGACATGTTTTCTGGTGGCCAGTCGGACCTGCGACCCCAGGCTCACACAGCATCGTGGCAGAGGCCAAGTGGCTGAAGCACTCAGGGGTTGGAGGGGTGAGAGTGTGCTGGCCCTGCTTATTCCTGGGACCAGCCACAGGGCCTGGCTCCTTTGGCACCCAGTCATACGCGTGGGTCCCAAGTTCACAGCCACTCTGTCCTGTGGTGCTGGGTTTATCGCCCCCCACTAAACTCTCTGCCCCCCATGGGGTGGTCTCTGCTGCTTTTGCCTGGAATGAGGACGGGGAAGCTGAGGAACAGCCCAGGTACCAGGAGGAGCTTCTTTTAATGATCTTCCAAGGCACTCTTATGCCTTCCCTGTGGGTTAGAGCACTTGGGGTTGGAGACCATGAGAGAAATAAAGCTATTCTTGCCAGGAAAACTCCATGCCTGGATCAGCCTGTTTCTTCTAATTTCCCACCAGCGTAGGTTTGAGCCAGGCCTGGGAGCTGGCCTCAGCGGGCCTCAGAAACAGACTGGAGCTGACAGGTATTCACATGTGTGTGAGCAGCTGGGCCACTCTGTCCCTGGGCAATCCAAGCTGGGCCGAGGGAACAGGGACCTCTCACTGTGTGTGTGGCACCCTGGGCCTGAGGGAACAGGGACCTCACTTGCTCACGGCACTGAGGAGACCTTCCCTGAGGGGACAGTCTGCAGGAAGCATCCAGAGCTGGGGAGCCTGGGAGAGGGGGTGATCGGAGCTGGAGGAGCAGCTGGCCTGCGGCCCACCCAGCCGACGAGGGCTGGGAGCTGCCCTGGGCTGATGCAGGGGTGAGCACAGGACTCATGGCCACAGGACGCTGCCAGTGAACTCAGCCTTCCCTGGGTGCCTGGATCACTTGGTCTGGGAGGCAGTCACCTCGTTATGAAAGCACTCTTGCAGCCACGTGGAGAGGCCATGCTCTGTCATAGAAATTAGTTCTAGTTCAAGGTGGAAAGAGACCTCAGAAGGGCAGGAGAGGTGAGGCCACAGGGGACCATCCTGAAGTCAGGCCATCTTAATGCCATCACCTGTAATACAGTTCCAAATTCTGGTGATTCTTGGAGAGAGATCCTACCAGGCAAGCCCTGGAGTTGGAGAGGGGATTCAGGGGGTAGCATTAGCATTGTATTGAGGAAGACGTGCCTAAAATAAAAGTGTTATATCCCTGCCACCTAGCAGTAATCCGTAGTAGGTATTCAGAGAGGTTTAGTAGGTACCTGGGCTCACACAGCAAGCAGTGGAGTCTTAATTGTTGGAATAATGAACGAGGCATTGGTTAAGATCATCAAAAGGGACACCTTCTGGCTAAATGGAGCCTGTAAGCCAGGGAAATAGTAGAGGAAGGAGAGTGGAAGGACAATTGAGGCCAGACAGAAACTTGAATGTCAGGTGATGACAAATTCTGTGCCATCAGCACAGGTAACCACTGAAGGCTCTGGAGCATCTTGTAGCCATGGCTGAGGGAGGACTAGAGGTCACCTCAGCATTTCCCCCTTGTTCTTAAAGGAGACCAAAGCCTGAGCCTGTTTTTCCAGCTTTCCTAAGGAGGCCCTCCTGAGATTGGCTATGAAGGGAGGCCCATTCTCCATATTGAGGTTTTTGGCAATGACCCTGAGCCCCTGCCCCACCTATGTGTGAAAGGAACTTCACTTTGAGTGGAAGCAGGAGGTGCTCCAGGAAGACCCTGACACAAGACCAAAGGGTGTGGGCTGAATCGAGGAGGCACTCACCTGAGGATCTCTCTCCTCTGATACCATCTGAGAGGCTGAATGGTGCTGTGTCCTCTTTACCAGGATGTGGCTCACTGTGACATGGCTGTTTGGCAGGGACTTCAAAAACTGCTGTGGTGTTGTGCTTCTGGTCCCTGTGTGTCAGGAGCTAGGCAGGAGCAGAGACAGGAGCCTGGCTGTGTGGCCAGGAGACCCTTGGGAGACTTGGGCACAGAACAGCTTGCTGGGCTGGCACCTCACATAAGGTTGATTCTTCCAAGCCTTTACCCTAGGTATAGCTTTTGTCACTTAAGAAACTTTTGGATATTCTGGATAAATTCTAAATCCATAGCCTTGGTTTTTAAAATGCTTTTCTTTGTGTTTGCATAAAAAATGAGATTACTTTTGGAATCCCTCACCATCCTCCTGCTGTTCCACATAGGAAGTCTCCCTTTGGTCATGATCACGCTGACCCTGGAGCAGAGGATAGTCGGGTTTGGGTGGGCTCAGAGCCGAAAGGTGCATCACATTCTGACTCTTTCTGCAAGGTGCTGAACTTTGTTTTTATAAATGCGTAGATTGAGGCTCAGAAGGAATAGGAGTGTATCAAAGTTCTCACAGCTGTTGGGAAAACCTGAGCTTTCCTTGGAAATAAAATACACTGATAATTTTCATTCCAGACACCCAAATTCATGTCCCCAAACCTGGTCTCCATCCCACTCAGGTCATTAGGAGTATGGTGCACTGATCTGGCAAACCCTCCAGGTCCCCACAGAGAGCAAACGCTGATTTATAAGGAACCCATGCTTGTCCCAGTGTGGGCCATGGAGGTCCCCCCGGAGAGAGGCAGCTGGACCCCATAGGTTCTCCATCCACTCAGCAGCAAAAGGACGGAGGACTGCCATGAACCTGCAGATGCCGCTGTGCTCAGACTTCATCCGAGCACTCGCCCTATTGGTCAAGGTCAGAATCAGACTGCAGCCTCCTCTCCCACAGCAGGGAGGGCTCTGGGTGAGCAGAACTCCAGACTCTGTCCCTCCTGCCACAGCTCAGGCTGTCCCTCCACCTGCTGTCCCTTCTCCATGACCAAGTGCCCCGCTGATCTTCTTCTGAGTGGGCTCTCAGACTCTCTTTGGTAGTTTGTTTGAGGTCTCTATTTTTTTTTGGCGGGGGGAGGGGTCTGGGAATGGCAGGGAGGTTCGCTGGTCTCCACAAAGAGCCCTGCAGCTGATGTCTGGTGAGTGCATGGCAGAGGACACCCACCATGGGACACAAATGCCTCTCTCACCGCCAGCATCATAAACTTCTCTGTGTCAGGCAGCTTAGCACTTAGCAGGTGCTCAGCAGGGCTTCGAGAGGTGACCTCAGCACCAGCAAGGGCTCCTTCCAGGACCTCCCACATTCTCTTCTCCTAGAGGTGCCCCTCAATTCCAGATCCCCCCCAGCCCAGGCCCCCGGACCCCTGACTGCCTGATCTCCACTTATCCTCAGCACTAGCCCTTTTGTGTCCATAAATAGAGAAGAAAAAGCAAAGGGAGCCAGGACTTCTTCTCAGAGCCCACCAAACCAGCCTCAGCCCACACAGTCCAGTCATGGAAGAAAGGACCAGCGTGGCCCAGGCACTGGCATGGAATTCAGGGAGGCATTTTCCCCTCTCGATTACTGTGTCATCTCTTCCAGGAGCCCTAAGAATATGATGGAGCTGACAAATGTGAATCCTGTCTCACTGAAGGTAGAGAAACTGAGGCAGAGATATTAGGACATTCATACAGAGTCATGGGGCCGAGAACACGGACCTTTAGGAAAGTCAATTCCACTGTCTGAGTCTTGGCCAGGAGTCAAGCAGCAGGTGTGAATTCATATCCCTCTACTTACTGGCTGTGTGGTTTTGCAGAAAATTGCTTAACCTCTCTAAAGCTTATTCTTCCCACCCGAAAAATGGGAAAAGTTCTGTCCCATCTGCCAGAATTAAAAAATGGGATGGCATAAATAGAGCACACAGCACTGAGGGCTTGGACCCCTGGGTGGAAAGGAGGCTGGCACCCTGAGGCCTTGATAAATCAAGGCAGGGAAAGTTCCCAGGTGTTCGGTCTCTGCTGGGGTGTTCTCCCCTCCAAGTACACAGCTCCCAGGAAGCCTCTAAGGTTCAGTTTGGCACCCTCAGATTCCTGTCTGAGCTTCCAGATCAGCATCTTTCCTTACCCAGGTATAGACTGAGTCTGGCTCCCTGCCAGTCAGTGCCAGGAAAAGTGGAACAGGAAAACTTGTGCCATTGTCCAGAGTGGGCAGCCTTGGGGCCTTTTCTGCCTGAAAGCCTCAAGTGCTGTGCAGCAGCGCCCTCTTCTGGCACATCTTGGCAAGACACCCATTGTTGGTGTGTCCATGGCCCAGAATTTCATCCTTTGGACACCACCTAAGAGGACACCACCCCTACCTTCCAAAACACAGTCGGGGTACCAGCAGCACCGGGCCCAGATCCCAGTGGCCCGCCTGCCCATCTCACTTTACAGCCATTTGCCTCTTTTCCTAACTCTAAGTGTCATACTGAATGGGCAATGGGTCAAACGTGGAAGGAATCCCTGCTCCTAAAAAGAAGCTCACGAAGCAGCTGGAAAATGACAGGGCAGTCCTCTCCTTTTCCTGACTGAGCTCCCACTGTCTGAGGCCAGTGCAGGAACAAGACAGCTGCCCAAACTCCAAGGATCACATCCAAGGTCCTGTTGCCACCAGACACTAGCACTCAGTCTTCAGTCACTACCCCCCTTCTGCTCTGTGGGGAGCCCAGGAATGCAGCAGTGGGCAAGTCAGACGAGTGCTACCCCTGGAGCCACTGGAGACTGCACAGAGATGGACCCACGTGGTGAGAACTGGAGGGAGACACGGAGTGCCTGAAAAGAGGCCTTGACCTCTGAAGGATCTAGAGAGGCCTCCCTGTTTCAGCATAGACCTAAGGGTAGAAGAAGCTGACTCTGAGAAGGGAAGTCGGAGGGAGCTGCTCGCAGAGGGAATGATCAGTGCCAAGGCCCGGAGGTTAAAAAAAAAAAGTGGCTTAGCTTATTTGAAGGGCCTGAAATAAGCTAAGCATCTCTGATGCTCTAGGAAAGGCCCAGGCAGGGGCCTTACTCCGGAAATGAGATGGCTGCCTCGTCGGCTCTGCTTTGTACCTGGACTCTCTCTTCAGCTGCCAGCAGCCAGCAGTTTCTTCAGACATGGCCCTTGGTCTCTCCATTTAAGACCCAGCGGACTGAATGAAAATTGAGCACAAGAGCTACGCCAGGCTCTGCAGGACCTAAAGAGAATAAGGCAGAGCCCTGTTCCCGTGGACTCACAGTCTTGATGGAAAGACAGGACCAGGGCAGAGGGACCCAGAGGCCTCTGTCCAGCATGACCCAGTGGCACAGGCCAGACTTGGCTGCCAAAGAAAAGTTGGATGTTAGTTTATTGAGAAGATGGAGCCTCAGGGCTTCATGGCTGGTGGAGTGAGACCTTGGGAGAGAAAGAAATCAGGATGTCCCCAGGGTTGGGGTGGAGTTGGCTGACTGGGTGGAGATGCATTTTAGGTGGTGGGGGCATGGGAGGACAAACACTTTGAAGAGTTAGTTACAGAGTTCTCAAGAGATGGGCTGTGTTTGAGACATGGGGCCATCTGCATGGAGGCATGGAGAAGAGGAAACGTGCTGAGCTCAGAATCCAGGTCTGAATTGAAGGAAAGGTACAGGGTGTGAGCTGAGAGATGGTGGATGTGGGGAGGTCAGGGTCCACATGAGGACCCCAAGGAGCCCCACATCTAAGGTCAGGCAGGACTCAAGAGAAAGGAGAAGAAGGTCAGGGCAGAGCAGGCTCCAAAAACCAAGAGAAGGCCAGGAGCAGGTCCTTTACCACAGCAGGTCTGGTGTGAACCGTGGCCCCCGGGTCTGATTGCTCAAGTAGAGCAGGTGGGCATAGGGAGAAATTGTGTACTTGGCCAAGAGGGTGGTCAGAGAGGGAGGAGCTGTAGGCTGGATTCGGGACTGCTGGAAGCACAAGGGACATCTCCTCCGGTGCTCTCACAGGCTCCTCCGTGGGGCTTTCCGGATAAACTACCTCCTCTCTAAGACAGACTGGCACGTATTTGTTGTTTAGAGCATCTCTGTTGCCACTGGAAGAGCATTAGCCATTGAACTCCAGCCTACAGCTCCTCCCTCTCTGACCACTGTCTTGGCCAAGTACACAATTTCTCCCTATGCCCACCTGCTACACCTGAGCAATCAGACCCGGGGGCCAAGGTTTACACCAGACCTGCTGTAGTAAAGGAGAATGAGAAAGTGGGCCCCTTGTTATCAAATGATATCAGCACTTGGCCTCTGTGTATCCCACTGCAGTGGACATGCTCTTAGGAGTCCCCTGCAGGGAGGGAACTGAGGGAGAAAGGAAAAGGGATTTATTTCTGGCCTTAGTGATTCAGGAAGTCCATGTCTCTGTGCCTCCGTTTCTGTCCCTGTGGGAGTGCCAGTAGCTGCTTCTCCCTCCAGAGGGTAGAATACAGATGTGGACAGCAGCGTTTAGAGTAGGAGGAAGCCAGGGAGAAGCAGCAGGCTGCTGGGTGGGCTGGGGTTCCCAGGGCCTGGCCTGCCACTGCCACTAAACTTAGTGTTCCTCCTGGCTCCCCTCCTCCCTTGGTTCTGTGCCTCTTGAGCAAATTCATGGCACACATTTGCTAATCGAGCACAGTGGTTCTTCTTGAAAGGGAGCCCTCTCCTTCTGCTCTGCTTCGGCTCTGTGGCAGTTCAAACAGCAGCTTTTGGGCCAGGGAGGCTGTCTCTGGCTTCCTGGGACTCTGACTGCCAACTCAGGACCTCACCACGGGTGCTGACATTCGACTGAGGGGTGGCAATCTGCCCGGAGACACTTAGGTGGTCCTGCAGAAGATCGGCCTTGGGAATTGGCAGCCTTTCCATTTGTGGATTCATTCCAGCCATGAACTCGCCAAAGGGCCATCCATTCTGCTGAGACCTTTTATTTCTCATGAATGTCCCAGGCATAGGTCTTAAGTATGACAGGGCTCAGCTGCGGAGGGGCAGTATTGGCGGTAGATCCGCAGCTTCAAGACTGAGTGAGTCCTTAGTGTAGCAGGAGCTGAGCTCAAAGATAGGACTTTATTAGACTCCCCCAGCCATGCTTGGGCTCCATCCTGGGCTCTTCCTGCAGAGGGGGAGCTCTGGCTCTCCCACTCAAACACAGGTATGCTCTGCGTGCACCTGGGATGGGGGAGATGGGGTCTGCAGGAGGGCCCCTCTTACCTCCAAGTTCCCCCTCCTCCTCAGCAGGCCCTGTTAGGATCAGGCTTCAATGGTCAGACTCCATCTTGCTTTGGAGAAGGAGTCCTGGCCAGCTGCTGCTGCACATTGTCCTGTCTAGTGTGACATGGATGTGCACCAGTGGGACAAGAGCAGACCCAGCAGAGACTCCTTCCTCCAGAGCATGCTCCTTAGCATTCTTGTCAACCCTGGAGTACCTTGGTTGGAAACCAAAGCACCGGATCTGGCTACCTTTCCTCTCCCTACCTCCTACCACTCCATACTGGAGCCCCAGCCAGTCCGTGCTCCGTGTCCCACGTTCTTTCCCCACTGCACAGTCTGCTCCCTTGAGGGACATTCTTCCCCCCTTCTGGGACTAGACCCAGTGTCTTTCAAGGCTCTGTTCAGCTGTTACCTTCTAAAATGCTCTTCCACTCCATACTAGTTCTGCCAGCTCTCAGCTGTGTCCCAGTGTACGCCGAGTGTACCCACATTGCTGCTGCCACACTCTATGGCTTATGTCTGTCTTTCCATCAAGACTGTGAGCCCACAGGAACAGGGCTCTGCCTTATTCTCTTTAGGTCCTGCAGAGCCTGGTGCAGCTCAATTTGCATTCAGTCCGCTGGGTCTTAAGTAGAGAGACCAAGGGCCATGTCTGAAGAAACTGCTGGCTTCTGGCAGCTGAAGAGAGAGTCCAGGTACAAAGCAGAGCCAAGGAGGCAGGTATCATCTTCCTTAAAGGGAGGGGCAGGATGCTCCACTGGAAAAGAAGCCCCATAGATGGCTGACCTACACCCCCCATTGAGCATGGACCACAGCTGGTGACTTGTCTGGGTGCACATCTGCCTACTGAGGGAGACCACCCTATGCCTTCTGGCTGGCCCAGGTTGGGCAGTATAAACTGAACCATCATGCACCTGGGAACTAGGACCTGGGAAACTCTACCTAAAAGCTAGTCATGACCCTGGGCCACCAGGTATTCTGGGCCGAGGATGCTGAACGGGAGATGGCTGGCTGGGATATGCTCAAAGGCATCACTGCCCAGGGATGGCATGGGGAAGAGGAAGCCACAGTGACTTAGAATCCCACTGTTGACATAGCACAGGGAAACCTATCACCTACCAAGTGCCACCTCAGGAGAGGTGAATGAATGGGAAGGGTCGGGGAGCAGGATGAGAGGTACAGAGGGAGGGGTCAGATGGCGGGGCTAGAGATACCATCTGTGATCAGACTCAATCAGGGCCAAGTTCTGTTTCCCCAGATGTGAAGATGGAACTCCAAGAAAAGGCCAAGGCAAGCACAGAAAGCAAGTTTTACTTAAGGATGAGAACAGACGTCTCCCAGGAGGAAGATACCCAGGGTTGGTATCCCAGGGAGTGGGGGGTCCTGCCCCTTTTATATACTTCAGAATTTCTTTGTTCTCGTGGCCTCTCCCCACCATCCTGCATACATGGCCAGTGACCAAAGTGATGGGCCAAGGTCATGAATGAAGCCATCCTCCAGGGGTCCAGGCTGGAAGGGAGCTGCCCAGGAGGCATTCGTTAATAGCCCCCAGTTGGGAGGAACAGTTCCCTGAAAGCAGGTCTTGACAACAGCAGGTAAAGGGCTCTGGAGGTGAAGCGTGACACAAGAGACTGGACACCTGAGGAATTTTCAGGAAGCAGATTTATTGACTGCAGGGTCCAAAAGGGCTAGTGCCTAAAATTTCTCCCCTGGACCACGAGTGAAAGGAAAGCGAGGAATCGGGAGACCGGCAAGCAAGAAATGAAAGATAGGAGACGGTAGGGTCCTTGCTTAGCATCTGAGTGGCCAGCTTAAGTGACAGCTGCCATTTTAAGGCTTTCCCACCCAAAGGCCTTTCTGAGAAAGACTCACCACTCCATCATACCAACCCCACCCTTAATGGCCCACATTAGGACCCGCCAGGCTCTAATCCCTGAGCCACCCCCCAAAATGTCCCAAACCCAAAGCCTTTATTGCCTCTCCCCATCTACGGAGAAGTAGCCTTTATCTGTCAGTTCTGACAACTAAACTCTCGTGTGTATCTCTGCCTGGTCTCCGTCTTTCATTTCTCGCTCATCCATCTCCTGGTTCTTCGCTTTCCTTTCAGAGACCAGACAGAGATGCACAGGAGAGTTTAAAGGGCATCTCTCCATAGATGGAGAGAGGCAAAACAGGCTTGAGTTCTGGGATTTTTATGGGATAGGCTCTGGGATTAGAGCCTGGCGGGTCCTAATTCGGGTGGATAAGGTTGGGTGAGGTTGGTATGATACAGTGGTGATCCTTTCTCAGAAAGGCCCTTGGGTGGGAAAGGGCCGTTTTTAGGATGGTGGCTGTCACTTAAGATGGCCACCCAGATGCTAAGCATGGACCTTACAATGACTATTTTAGAAATTCTTTGAATTTTATACACAATGGGGGGAGGGGGGCTAGGTGGTCACTTGACAAGCACTTTACATTCCATCCTCTAGACAGAGTTTCACAAGTTTTTTTTTTTTTTTTCCTGCAAACCAGGCATTTACAAAAAGAGGAAACTACCAACTACAACGCCCTTCTGCAGAAGTTTTTGCTGATAAAAAGCTTTCTGATAAGCTAAGAGGAACTTACATGCCACAAAAATGGTGAGGGTTTCTGGTTTATTTTGGTAAGGTCTTCTGGGTAGAGGTCTCTGGCCTGCTTCAGAGCTTTAGCATTTCGATACCCTGAGGCATAGACTTTGGCCTGGAGTGAAGTGGATGTGTCCCGAAGATATTAACATTCCATTCCCTTTGAATCAGTTTCCATCTTCCTGGTGAGATCTTCTAGCTACACTAACTGCCTGACCTTTGTTCCTGCTTCACTAGAATGGGGGTATCCGTGGCTTCTGGCTGCTATAGGGAAGGAAGAGCCTCCCAGAGGCACAGTGAGCTACCTACCTGGCCAGGAGCAGGGTTCTGAAAAATTCCCCCGTGTAGGGCTTCCTTCCCAGTGGGCTGTGTACTCTCAGCAGGAATGTTGCAGGACCTTCCATTATGGGGAAAGTCTCCCTGGGCCTTTCTCAATGAAAGCCACTTCTTCAGGAATAAGCTGGAATCTGTTCTCAGACAGCCAAGTCTATAACTCAGATGTGGAAACTTTCACATCCTAATTTAGGCCAGTTGCTAAAAGATTAAAATGTAGTTTGAGATACATACATATTATATTCATTGAACATGTAGTAATTTCCATCATGTATGATGTGGGGTTAATAACACAGAACTCACAGAGCTACTGTAAAGAGTAAATCCAGCACAGGGAATAGGGCATGATTTAAGTGTTCAGAAAATGCTGGACATCCGTAATAGCTAGTATTTATTTAGAGGTGAGTTAAAGCTATGTGATTTCCACATATTATCTCATTACTTACTAATGGGGGCGGGGAGGAGTTTCTTAACCCGAAGGTCTCGGAGAATGCAGAGAGAGCTTGCAGGGGGGATCCCGGGGGTTGAGGGGGTTCCCTAACTCTAATACTCATTTGGAAACTCATGTGTTCTGTGTACTTTATAGCAAAACTATCTGTGGCATTTAATTAGCTCCTCAAATAATGAAGAATGGGTTTCTAAATTATTTCTGTGCTGTTCAGCTCGTGCACAGAATGACATGTTCCCACAGGTAAATAATCCTATCATAGCAAGACTATGGTGTTTGTAACCAAATGTTTCCTGACCTTGGATAAAACTTCCCTCCCTTGAACTTTGCAAAAATATCCCTCAAGTCATTTTCAGTGTCAGAGGCAATGTGATCTATTTCAGGCTAAGGCGAGCACTTTCTCCTCAAAGGCGTTGAGGCTCTGCACTTGGCAAGGGAGAGGATGACTAGAAGTAAGGAGGGCTAAGGGAATTCCATTTGGTGGCCCTTGCTTCTTTGGACCTGGGACTTGCGGTGCGCACCCTCATCCTGCCTGAGTGCTGCGCCTTTAAGGTCCACTGGGGGCGTGATGTCAGCGGCCCGGGAGCACTTGCAGAGGTGAGCCTGCAGCCTGCGCAGCGGGTGACTTGGACACCGGGTTAGGAGTAAGACCCGCAGAGGGCTCCAGACTCCCACTTTGATCAGAGCACTTGGCCCCCAAGGGCCATGTCTTGCAGGCACTGAGTGAGCACTGCCCTGGCTCTGGGAGGACGAGCGGCGATACAGCAGCCATGAGCAGCTTCCAGCTGGAAGACTTTGCCGCGGGCTGGATCGGAGGTGAGTGCCGAGCGGACACTCGCGGTCTGGAGCGTGAGCTACCAGCACTACACCGGCTGTTTGCACGTTGTTCTCTGGCTTTGGAAACTTTGCCCCCGCACTTTCCTTCACGCGCCGTGGCTGCCGCGACGCCTTGGTGCGGGGAGCGTCCCCAGTCCGAAGCCCTCGAGTCCTCTCGGGTGGTCTGGCTGCTCAGTGGAACTCCTCGAGTTTCATGATTGACCCTGAGCTGATTTGCTTCAACCTTAGGATCCGAGGAGCTTGATCTGGTAATGATTAAGCAGTCCGTAGAGCTCACAGCCAATGGAGCCTCCCTGGCGGGCACCCACCCTTCAGCGACGGGTTTGCACCTGAATCTGGGGACGTGGCTAGCAGGAACTTGGCTGCAAGTTGGCGCTTGGCCCCTGAATCCTGGGCGCCGGATGGTGAGGGGTTGCAAGGTCCGGCTGGCTCAAGGGGGCGCCCGGATTGGAAGGAGCAGAGCGCAGGGAGAGGAGCTCAAGACTGCAGGTGCTCAGTAACAGCTGGCAGGAACCCTTCCTGTTCTCAGCAGTGGTCAGCCTTCAGCCAATGCGTTCCTTCAAGGTCCTTCCTGGCACTATTGGGCCTACTGGTCCCTTCGCCATCACTCCCTGAGCTGCTCTGCTGGACCTCAGGTGGGTTGCTTGGGCCAGAGGTGCATCCAATTTCCTTGCTTCTCCCTTTTAAATACCTGTATTCTTCCTTTCTCAGGTATGAGGGAGTAAGTGTAGACGTTTGATGGACCTTGTTGATTGTAAAAAAAAAAAAAAAAAAACCTTTATTTTGACCCGCCCAAGATTAAAAGAGATGCTGTTTAAAAATATAAAAAATTAAAAGAGATGCTGTTAAATTCAGCCCCTCCCCCAAAGGCACTAAGTAAAAAGATCAACAAACCAGATAAGACTCCAGGTCCTCCCCTCCCACCTACTCTGATCTTTTCCCTGGTAGCTGGCAACTGGTCCCGCACACACCTTCCTGGACAGAGGTAGCTTTTTCCACAGCACCCAGTCTGTTGGCACAGGAACCTCTGGGTGGGGCTGAGAATTGCCTCTCCTAAATTGACCAGCCAGAGGCCCATTTGACATACCCAAGCCCTCTTTGAACAGTCCTTCAACCACTTGGAGGGGTAGACAGAGGGGGGAGACCCCTCCCTGTATGGCCCCTTTAGTATTCAGTAGAGTTGCTGATGGCTGGGTTTGAGAACTGCCCTGGAGGGTGGGCTGAGGCAGAGGAACCCAGTCCTCTGATAAGACAATTCTGAGATTGCCCTTATTTTTGTTTTGTTTTGTTTGTTTATTTGTTTTTGCCTGCATGAAATGATGGTGAAGGTAGTCACATGAATGCTTACTAGGTGTAACTTTACTGAGGTTTATGCATAACTTATTGAAGTTCATTTTACCTATCATAAAATTCATTTCAAATGTACAATTGAATGATTTTTAGCAACTTTACCAAGTGGTACAACTGTCACTATAAATTAGTTATTGAGCATTGTCAACCCCCAGAAAGATCTCTCAAGTCCATTAACAGCTGAGCTTTGCTTCCCTTCCTCCCCCTAGATAACCACTAATCTGCCTTCTATAAATTTGCCTTTCCTGGATCTTTCATAGCAGCTAAATCCTGAAAAGTGGGGTGTCTTGCATTTGTTCGTACATATTTCTTTACTAATAACCCTAAATGAAGTGGGTACTATTACATTCTCATTTTATAGATTGGAGGTACAAAGAAATCCTAAGGCCATGCATCTAACATGAACACTGGTATTCTGACCCAGACAACTGGGCACCAGGGTCTGACTGCCAGGGTGGTAACTCCCAGACTTGTCTATACTTGTTGTCTTTGATAACAACCTTGTATGGAAAATTTTCCCCATAACAACCTCCACGTTTTATTTGGAGTTATAGAAGTCTTTGAGATCTCAAGATCTGGAAACTACTGACCCCCAAATCCTATTTTTAAAAATCTGGCACCTCTTGCTTTCCAGATGGGTGGGCTGATGAGTGTGAGCAGGGAGACGCTGACCCAAGACCAGAGCTGAACTGTGCTCAAGGCAGAGGGAAGCCAGCACTGGTTCTGGGGGACTTGCCTCCCAGCCTGAGGACCAGAGCTCCTTCCACCTTGCTGGGAGGGGTCCTGCAAAGTGGGATTGAAGGCTCCAGGTTTTCTTCTGACCTCCACCGACCATCATTTCTGTGCCACTGCCCAGTTCAGGGAGAAGGATGAGGTGAGAGAGGACAGGAAGATCTGGACCAAAGGATTAGCCAAATTCTCTGTCCCTATAAATACAGAATATTCCAGGGCCCTGACTTAGCTGACTTGGTTAAATCACTTCTGCTGGCAGAGCCATTGTCTCTTAAGTCACTGGACTGGATAATTTATTTTGGAAGAACAGCTCCTGTTTGAATCTCAGTCACCAGCTTCCACAAGGGCTTCTTTATCTAGGCGGCCTTGCTCTTCCCAGAATGGTACAGGCCTCTGTGAAGACAGGTTTTTTTTTTTTTTTTTTTTTTTTTTTTTTTTAATGAAAAGGTCCATTGTATCCATCACCTTTGGATCTTTAAAAGAACATCATTCAAAAGTGACAATATCTATGGTGCACACCTGTAATCCCAGCTACTCGGGAGGCTAAGGCAGAAGGATCACAAGTTTGAGGCCAGCCTTAGTGATTTACTGAGGCCCTCTCAAAAAGAAAAAAAAAAATGGACAGGGGATGTGGCTCAGTGGTAAAGTGCTCCTGGATTCAATCTCCAGTGCCTGTCCCCAACCCCTTCAAATAAAATGAAACAAAGAAAAGTTGAATAACCTACAGATAACTTAAAAGTTGCTGGATTTTCTCTTCACCCCCTTGCTTTTTGAGTTGAAATTCACATAATGTAAAGTTAGCCATTTGAAAGTGTGCAATCCAGTGGCATTTTTTTGTACCTTTACAATCCTGTGAAACCATCACCTTTATCTAGTTCTAAACCATTTTCCTCATGATGATTAAAGTAAATCAGGACAGACCTGAAGAATCCCTGGGCAGACAAAGTTAGTGAGGTCTCAAACAGAGACCTTAACATTGCTTAATTTGCAAACATGAGTAAAACGACTTGGGCTATTTCTTGTAAATTCTTATATTAAAGAAAAGCAGAATTGATGCTTGATGACTCAGAAGTAATTAGCTAACTTACATAACTAGGGACTTTCCAACAGGACATACCTAAGACAACACCTGTGTAACCAATCAAATACAGTCATGTGCTGCACATCGAAGTCTCATCTTGGTCAGTGACGGACCATGTAGTTGATGGTGGCCATGCCACGTAGCTAGGTGTGCAGTAGGCTGAACCCTCCAGGATCCAGGTTTGTGTAAGTACACTCTGGTGTTTGCCCAAAGATGAAACCACTTAACGATGCATTTATTGAGCCTGCACCCCATCATTAGAGCTCACATGATCATGATTTCCCTGCTGCATCTCTGTATCTAGAAGCTTCCTCTGTCATTCTCTTGTGTGTGGAGCTTCTGAACCACTCCTTCCTTGCAGTTGTCCAATTCATAAATGTTTGTTTGCTCAACAAATGCTTTAAAATTTTATTGTGTTTCAGTTTACTTTTTAACATGGACAAAGAAAGTCCTGTACCCATTAAACAGCCACTCCTATCTCCCCTGCCCACAGCCCTGTAAACCCACTAATCTGCTTTTTTTTCTTTACAAATTACCTGTTCTAGATAATTCGCATAAGTGGAATTATACAACATGTTGCCTTTGTGTCTGATGTATTTCACTTAGCATGTGTTTTTTGAGGTTCATCCATATTGTAGCATGTTCAGTACTTCATTCCTATTTATAGCTAAATAATATTCCACTGTAGACATACCACTCTTGATTCATTGGTTGGTGGACATTGGGCTTTTGTAAATGATACTGACATGAACCTGCATGAATATGTACTAGTTTTTGGTTCTTGGATATATCTCTAGAAATAGAATTTCTGGGTTGTGTAGTAATTCTATAATTTGATGTTTAATTTATTTTAAGGAATCATCCAACTGTTTTCCGCAATGGTTGCACCCATTCACATTCCCACCACCAACATACAAGACTTCCAATTTCCTACATCCTTGCCAACACTTATTATTTTCCTATCAGGTATACAAGGGAATGTCATTGTGATTTTGACTTGAATTTCCCTAAATGTTGAACATCTCTTCATGTCTTTCTGGGCCATTTGTATATCTTCTTTAAAGAAGTGTTTATTCAAGTCCTTTTACCCATTTAACAATTTTCTTAGTTGTCAGAGTTTATATATTCTGGATACTAGACCCTTATCACATACATGATTTGCCAATATTTCCCTCCATTCTGCAAGGTGTCTTCACTTTCTTGAGAATGTTTTTTGATGCACAAAAGCTTCTCATTTTTGTGAAACCCTGTTTATATTTTTTCTTTTGTTGCTGGTGCTTTTAGTATTATACTTAAGAGTCCATTGCAAATCCCAGGTCATGGAGGCTTTTTTTCCCCCCTATGTTTTAGTTTAAATGTTTTATTGTTTTAGCTCTCCCGTTTAGATTTTTTGATCTATTTTGAATTAATATTTTGTATGATATGAGGTAGGGAACTAAATTCATTCTTTTGCATATGCATGCCATTTTCTCAGCACCTTATTTTCCTTCTCTGAGGTGCTTAAGTCAAGGTTTAGGTTGGCTCCATTTTCTCTGCCTTCCTTGGTACTTGGACTAGTGTACATTGGAAGCTCTATAGCAACTGATCATCGACTGAATGAGTGAACCCATATACCTGAGTCCTCTGTCCTGTTCCAAGAGCCACCAGCTGATACAAACAGGAGTCCAAGGTATGAGTGACCAGATATTATTCTTTGATCCACAGGTGCAGCCAGTGTCATTGTTGGCCACCCTTTGGACACAGTCAAGGTACAGTTCCTGTGTTTCCCATTACATCTTGGAGCCTCTGGGTCTGTGCCCACTCTTTCTGATTCTCCTGAGATTCTCTAGTCCAGGGAAGGCTCTCTGCTTCCAGCTCAGAGGTCTGGGGGGTGCCAGAAGTCCTGGTTTGGAATGGCTCTACCCTTTCTGCTTGATGGTGAATTTGTTCCTGTGAATGTCCCATCCCTGCCTCAGGTTCTCATGAGTTGATGAAGTAGAGGACAGGACAATGGCCAATATCCTCTTCCAAGTCCCTCTACAGCTGAACAATCAAGAAAGGCTTCAAATGTGAGGTTGCAATTGAGCCCAAAATGTAAGGTTGAATTTCAGATAATTAGGAAAGATGTATCAGGCACAGGGGACAGCACGGGTCTAAAAGGCACTGCGATAGAGATGTCAGGTAGGAACCATGCTTGGGAAAGGCCAGATGGCCAGTTTGGCTGATATGTCAGGTTCCTGATGCAGCTTTGGGTCAGAATCCAAGTAAAGCAGGTCAGCATTCAATCTTCAGAGAACTTGAATGTCAGGTTAGCACCTTGGACCTAGTTGAGAGTGGGAGCCATTGTAACTTGATCAGGTATAAAGGATGTGAAGACTCTCGAGATAGCAGGGCCATTCTGACATTGGGATTTGTCTCTGACAGGGGACAGTGCTTGCCTTAGGTCACATAAATTCAAATCTGAGGAGTGAGATGCTACAAAAGAGTGCTCTTTGACCCCACCCTACCCCTGTCTTCTGTCCCCAGAGGTAAACAGGACTCGGTCACCTGGGAACGTGGCCATACATAATGTCTTCTCACTCCTGACTTCCAGATCTCCCTGGGTTGTGCTACAATTTCCTTTCTCACTATCTTCCTCCCTGTATGATAATGGGCCCCTCTGAGGTCAGAGCTCAGGCCTACTCTCTTCTCAACTGGAAGATCATCCTACTTGTCTTAATATACATAGAAAAGCAGGGTGTGAATATTCCATCCCTGCCTGCAGATTCTCATGAGCTGATGGGGGCGGGGGTAACAGAACACTGGCTAATAGCCTCTACCAAGAAGATGGCAGGCAGGGCCAGTGCTGGACAGTGGGCATTTGTGGTAGTGAGCCAAGCAGTATGAGCTTTCCATTGTAGACACAATGAGAGAGATAAAAGGCAGGAACCAGACTTTAGAGAGGGACTATATTAGGGCTGGGACTCAAAGTCCCAAAGCGGACTTAGCCTCCAGGAAGCCTATCTCACTGGTCAGTGTTTTCTTTACATTTAGAGCCCCTGGAACAAACTGGGGCCCAATATAGGTTTCCTGAATGAAGGACGATGGCCCAGAGCCACTTTTTCAAAACCACCAATCAGCTTGCTGTGGGTTTGGCCCCGGGATGAACAGCGCCCCCAATACTCCTGGCCAAAGTGGTCAGAACTGGGCTCTGGAAAGGCCTCCCTTTTGGAAACCATCCTCGAGGCCATACCTTGTCCATGGTCAGCTGAGGTCCTCTGCTGTTTCAGTTGAGGCTTCCAAGGTCAGTGCATTCTCCCATCTGCCTGGGTGTTCAGAGCAGAGGGACCCAGAGGAACAGGAGTTGGGACCAGGAGGCCTGGGGGTCAAGGTGGCTTTTCTGAAGGGGGTGGGGGCTGCTGCAGATAGATGCCAAGGATGGGGTCATTCCGGGGGCTCTGTCTGTCCAGCCTCCCCAGTCTCTTTTCTGGGCACAATGGCTGGTGGAAGATGGGCTGCTGGGGGTCCATCTTTCAGGGGGCCAGAGGAAGAGAAGGCTGCAGGCCCACAGAGGTGGACGTTTTGTGGCCATTGTCTTTGCACATTCAGGACTGCAGGATGATAGGTCCTTAGACTTCAGTGGGGAGTCCCAGGTTTCTCTTCCCCAGGGAAGTGAAAAGCAGCCTGGAGTGAGGCTGTAATGTGTGGATCATGTCAGGGCATCACGGGATTCTGTGTCCGGGATTCGGAGGGCCCTCCAACTATCGCTGAGGCCAGGGGAAGCTTCGAGGCCTACCAACTGAGCAGAAGCAGCAGCCAGTCTCAGGCTAAGAAGAATGTTTTCTCCAAGGAGGGCCTAGACCTTTGCTGCCCACCCTCACGAGAGGGTGGACGAGGAAGGAGCCTCTTGGATTAAAGAGGATAAAGAGTCTGGTTTGTTCAAAGCACTTCTTTGCCAAGCACTTGTTTGAGTGCCTGAGAGAAAGCCATGCAGGGAGGTTGAGAGGACTGTGTCAGGAGCTTTGCTATTGTAAGTGGGTGGGCCGGGGAGTGGGGGGCGGGGGGGTGTGTCACAAGAGGAAGGTGCCAATGGAGCCAACTGGAGACACTGAGGGAGGGAGACTGGGCACTTGTCCACCCATCCAGTCCCCATCTGCAGAAGCCATTAGCTGACCACTAAGTCTGATGATTTAGCAGTGAGGGAGGCAAGTGAGGGGACAAACATTCAAAGGGGACAATAATTAGGGAACATGATACACGCACAAGGCATTTTTAGGCTGTTGTAGGTGCGAGGGAGACAATAACACAAGGTGATAAGAAGGAGTCACTAGGGGCTTCTCTATATTGGGGGGGGGGTCAAGATGGCTTTTCTGAAGGGGAGGTGGTCAAATGATACAAAAAGCCACCCACCGAGAACGGGGGTCAGAGTGCTCTGACAGAGGCACAAGCTGGTAGAAAGGCTTATGCAGAAGAGAGTGGGGGCTGCTTCAGATGCCAAGGAGGGGGCCATCCCAGGGGCTCTGCCTGTCTAGCCTCCCCATTCCCTTTTCTGGGCACAATGGCTGCTGGGGTCCATCTTTCAGGGGGCCAGAGAAGGTGGAGGTTGCAGGCCCACAGAGGTGGATGTTTTGTGGCCATTGTCCTTGCACATGCAGGACTGCATGGTGGCAGGTCAGCCAGGATGTCCATTCTTCCCATCAGCCCTGCACACCCAGGCCCTGGCTCCCAGAGTCCACCTAGGAGAGCTCTGGAGTAAGTTCAGGTCTGGAGTGGACTGACCAGCATCTTAAGGCTGTGACCTGCTGTCCAGATGTAAAGCCCCCAGTACTCTCCAGAGCCAAGCCAAGCCCTCTGGAGAGTCCTCCACACCTCTGTGATATCTGCAGATGCCCACTGGGTTCTCTCTGGTCTCCCTGAGGGCAGGCCAGGTATCCCAAGAGTGTACCACAGCAAGAAGGCTGAGCTTCCTAGCCAGTAGCTTCCAACTCTGCCCTGTTCAGAGCACAGCTTAGTTCAGAGCAGGGCACTGTCTTGAGAGAGAGCACCTGATAAATAAACGGCTATCCAGGATCTCAGCCCAGTGCAGGGAAGCTGCTATATACCTCTCCTGGACTGGGCCTTGTGAAGACTTGGAAGACTCAGATGCCATTCTTGATGACTTTAGGAAGAACAGGCTGTCCCTGACCTCCCCATACTTTCCAACTTGCCTAACTCTCCCTAGTCTGTCCCATCCCAGTATGTAATTGACAGGCCAATTGACAAGGTAATCTCTGGCAGGTGGCAGGGCTGAGCCTGGAGAGCATAGGTTTTGGAACCACGCAGGCTCTGGGTTTGAACACTACTTTTTGGCATTTCCTGTCTGCATAGCCTTCTGTTAGGGCCCAAATCCCTAGTTTAAATATAAGGCAAGAGTGTTGCTCCTGGTACCCAGCAGACATTTCAAATTGGTAGCTACTATTTTTATCAACATTGTTCTATGTAAATTAAGTTTTTCTCAGTTATGATATTGTGTGAAAATAGGTAGCTGGGTGGAGGAGCTGGCCTCTGGCTCCTCAGTAGCATGAAGCTGGGATTTTTGGCATCTAGAATTGTATAAGACTAAACCTGTGTTGCTTCAGCCACTTCCAAAGCGATATGAAATTAATACAGAGAGTCAGCTTTCTTCATCTGGAAAATGTGGGTGGTATTTTGCCTCTCTGCATGGGTGGGATTCAGTGAGGTGACTTTTACGAGATGCCCTGTGTGTAGTTGGTGCATACTAAATGCCAGCTCCTGCTGTAACCGGTGATCCTAGGGCCATGGGCTTTGCCACTTGCCTCAGGGCCATGCTGAACTCAACATGCTAGGAACATGCTTTGTTCCATGGCTTTGAAATTATCCTATGGTCTGGGTTCTGCTCTGGTTCAAGTCCCCCCATGTACCATTTTCTTAAGGAGTTTGAACACTCAACTTTAGTAGAAACTTGATCCTTCTGAGGACCGTATCATTGCGTGGATCCATTATCCAGGGACAACGGGACAGCGTAGGATCTCAAACCAGCTTTACATGGGGCATAGAGAAAGATCTACATCAAGTCATCACTGTCCTCATTGTGGACACCCCACCCTAAGGTAGACCTCTGCTTAGCAAGGAGAACATGACAACCCAGTTTCCATCTTGCTCTTTCTTCCCGGTGTCCCTCTTGCCACACAATTTAGAAGTGAGTCTCTTCATCACCACCCGGCCTTTCCTATCTGTGGTTTGTCTCCTTAGCAAATCACCATTGAACATACATATTTACCTTTGAATTATTTTTTATTGACTATTTTTTCCAGCCCTAGTAAGTTCCATGAGGTCAGAGACTTGGTCATCTCTATTGAGAATTTCCTGAGGTTGGAACAGACTCCTTTGCTGCAGACACTCAACAAATATTGATTGAATGAGTCAATAAATACATTTCCCTTCCCTGATTATGAAAGTAATACTTATGAACAATGTGATACCCTTTCCTGCTTATTTCCTATGGCTACATGTGTTTATAAAAATAGATGGATGCCAATCAAACCTTTGGCCATGCTACTCGTCATGATTATTGCTCCTGGGAGGGGCAGAGGGAGAGAGAGTGGGCCAAAGGAGGATTCACCTTTATCCGTGATATTAAAACTTTTAAATTGAGAGATTGAATTCATTCCATATTAGTTGTATACTTAAAATTATCTTTAAAACCATATAAGCTAAAAATAATGAAAGTCACCCTTGCTTATTGTAGGAAAGTTGGAAATGGAGAAAAGTTCCATGCCCCAAAGCATCACTGAGGGGACCACCACCGTGAGGACGGTGTTCCTCCTGGGTCCTCTCTACTTGCCTTGGTGGTGAGCTCAGGAAGTTTGTGTGAAGAGTCTCCATCTTCCCTGGGTCTTAGCTCCTCAGTGTGCCTGGGTGCTGTGGGAACAGGGCCAGCATCTCCTCCTTTGTGGCTCTCACAGCTCCCTTCCTGCATGAGTGTAGCATGCCATAGTTACCACCAAACCATTTAATAAGCTACGCATCTTTAAAGAAGTGAAATCCTCTGAGACCAGGGTAGGAGGTGACCTGGGGAATTTTGTGGGCTTCCTCAGACCCTCTATTTGTCATTTGCTGTCCCTAGTCACCAAAGCCAGCCTTCCTTAGAGGACACCATGCCTTCACCTTCAGCCCCTCAGTTAGCCAGTGCAGAGCAGCCATTGTGCCAAGGCTGTGCTCAACTCTGGGGACAAAAGGGGAAGGTAGACAGATGGCCCTGCCTTATTCGGGTAATCCAACATAAACCCTGTGTCAACAAGCAGATAAGGTCATTGCTATGGTCAGACCCAAGAGAACAGGAGCTGGAGGAAGAGTCTTTGAAGGGGAGGGAACAGTCAGAGAACAGTCTAGAGGTGGGAGAGATTGGCTGCTCCAGAGATTGGGAATGTGTGTGTGGTGGGCATGGAGGCCAAGGCATGGGCAGGAAATGGCCTGTGGGGTAAGGGGCAAGCTCAGGGGTCCCCTACCTTCTACCCGAGGTTTCTCTAGGTACAGGCAGAGTGTAGAATTTATTTTAAGTTTGGTGGGAGTCCACTGGACAGCTTTAACCAGAGTGACGTTGATGTTTGAACATGATCAGACTGATTGTGCCAAGAGACAGGAAGAGGGAAGGCCAGGCCTTTGTCCAGGTGAGAGGTGAAGGAGTGAGGACAGGGTGGTGATTCTGGGGGCAAGAAGACCAGGTCTCCCAGGGATGTGCGAGGTGTGGGAATGACGGACAGAGGCTGATAGGAGAGAGCCCCAGTTGGATATTTGTACTCAGTTGGCAGAGACCATACTTCAGCAGCCATTATTTTTGCACAGCTGACTGGCCATGGTCCTTCTTGTAGGCAAAGCAAGCTTCTGCTGCACTGAGCAGGACTGAGTGGGACATTAGAACAAGACAGTGTCTGCAGAAGACAGAGAGCAGGCTGGCCAGGCTGGCTCCTGACTGGTCACTTTGGGCAGGATCTTCTTCCTCTGGGCATCTTTTGGGGCTATGGGGATGTGATTGATTTCATATGACCCCTATCCTTGCCTGTCTCCACAGACTCGCCTGCAGGCTGGCGTGGGCTACGGGAACACCTTCAGCTGCATCCGCACCATGTACAAGAGAGAGAGTGTAAGTGTCCCCCACCCCCCCCTGGTAGGAAGAGGGATCCCTGCCAGGGTTTCACTGGGCTGTGGCCCAGGCCATGGCTCCCACACCAGTGTGTAAGGCAAGAGGCCACTCATTCCGCTCATCACCTTGGCCTGATTTTTCCCCTTCTTCTTGCCCCACATACTACATGTTACCCTAACTTATCCTGTCACCTACTACAATATTATTGGGGAAAAACCTGGTTCTGTGTAACCTCTCCGGAGAAATCTGAGGAATATAAAATGGCAGTGTGGAAAATTCCTGCATAAACAAGGTGACCTGGAAGTTTTTGAGTTGGAATGAGTGGCGAGGAAACCATGTGCCCACAGGTATGTATCCCCGTGTGCCTGGGGACACTGAGCTCACCATGTGACCCAAGCTTTTCTGATCAGGGGAGTGAGTAGAGGAAGGAGATTGAGAGGGAGGGAGGGAGGGAGGATGGGAAAAGGGAAGAATGGTGGAAAGAAATGACCCAACTATCCTATGTACATATGTGAATATACCACAGTGAATCTCACCTTTATGTACACCTGTAATGCACTCCTTTAAAAAGAAACTATAAATAAACAGAAGAAAGATTGATAGGATAGAGGAAAGGGGTCAGGGGAAAGGAGAAAATGACGGAAAGTGGAAGTACTGAATTGGAGAAAATATTATTCCATGCATCTCTAATTATGTCACAACGAACCCCAATATTATGTATAACTATAAGGTACTAATAAAAATTTTAAAAAGAAAAAAAGAAAAACTGGCTAAAGTTTTGTAAAAGACACATCAGTTTCCTTCTTGAGAATTACCAAGTGAGATTCTAAGGCCCGTCTTTGAGAGATTTAAAATAAGTTTGAAAACTCAGAATGAAATGAATATATTTAAAATGAATGCAGTGAAACATCACATCATGTACCACCACGAGAACAGGATCCTAATTAGAATAAGTTATACTCCATGTATGTATAACATGACAAAACACACTGTACTGTCACATACTAAAAAGAACAAATAAAGAAATTGTATAAAGTTCCTTGTGAAAATCAAAAAAAAGAAAAAAAGAAGACGAAGAAAGAAACAGAAAGTCAGCACAAGCTCCGTGGTATTCCTGCAGATTTTCCTTGAGTCCCAGGAAATGCCATCTATGGCGACTGCTCTTTTCTAGTACACTAGGGCTTGGGAGCCTCCTACAATACTGTGACATTGTCCACAGACAAAGGGCATCTTGCATCAGGGTGATTTAACTCTCCCGATTGGCTGCTTTGAAATCAGGGCAAGCACTGCAAACCTAGTACTTGGTGTTCCAGGGTAATGTGGTGTGATCCCCAAGTCCCCTCAAAGTCAACCCTTGGGTCTGTCTCCATTTTGGCACCCATTCCCCACAGAGTCCACCAGCCAGTGTCCCAGTTCTGGGGCTTCGATGGGGACTGTAGGTGGTTTCTCTGAAGTGCCACAGCTCCTGGCTAAGCAGCGTCCTAAGTTATCTGAAGGACCTTGTTATGGAGGAAAAGCCAGAAGCAGAGTGAGTGAGTGAGTGTGTGTGTGTGTGTGTGTGTGTGTGAGGTTCCTGTATTTGGTAATTAGGGTGCAGCATATGTGGTCAGGATTATTGGATTAGTGCACAACCTGGATTTTGTACAGTGGCTTTTTAGAACATTCCTAGAACATTTTTATTTTGGCATCTGGGTGTTGCCTTGACTCTTCCAAGGGCCTATGGAATTTTCTGGGTTTCCTCAGAGCCCATGTGCAGTGCTCACTGAGAATGCAGTACAGAAAAGACCCTGACCCCAGCCTGCAGCACCTCTCCTCAGCCCCCTGTACAGGCATAGGGCCGCTCTAGTGTCCTTCCGGGACTTCCCTCTTTAGCCACTTATGACAGGAGACAGTCATGCTCAGGGCCCTCATCTGCAGGTTGACCCATGTACCCCTAAAGAAAACCCTCACCAAGGGCTTAGTGAAGTGCACTGTAATTGCCTGTCAATTTGTCTGTCCCTTGCCCTTGCCCTCAACTACCCTGTCCCTAGACCGTGAGCTCAGTGAGGGTGAAGACTATTTCTTATTGTCCCCCAGGGCCTGGCACATGGGAAGTAACCAGAAAATGCTTTGAGGGTCAAATAAGGAGCTATGTAGGGTGGTTAGCCACTTCTCCCTAGGTGCCCCATGGGCCAGCCCCAGACATTGCCACTGAAGCAGCAGGTGGCCTGGAGACCACCACACAGGAGACAAAACATTGTGCAGAAGCGGTTTCTCAGCTGGTTACAGTAGCTCACACTTATAATCCCAGCTTCTCGGGAGGCTGAGGCAGAAGGATGGAAAGTTCAAAGCCAGCCTCAGCAACAGCGAGGTGCTGAGCAACTCAGTGAGACCCTGTCTCTAAATAACATACAAAATAGGGCTGGGGATGTGGCTCAGTGGTCAATTCTCCCTGAGTCCAATCCCCAGTACACTCCAAAATATTTAAAAAATTAAAAGAAGTGATTTCTCTTCAGTGGCAGGCATGCCTGCCCCTGAGTTTCAGCAGCCCTCTCCTGTCGCATCAGGTTCCTCTTCAAGGCTCTTCACCGACACAGTGGCTCATCAGAGGCCAGGGCAGTGTGGCCTGCAGGGGGCCTGGCCGCATCCCTGGGCCTCATGCTTCCCTCACTGGGTCTCACCACAGGTGTTCGGCTTCTTCAAGGGCATGTCCTTCCCCCTGGCCAGCATCGCTGTCTACAACTCAGTGGTGTTTGGGGTCTTCAGTAACACACAGCGGTTCCTCAGCCAACACCGCTGCGGGGAGCCCGAGACCAGTCCTCGCCACAGCCTGTCTGACCTGCTCCTAGCCAGCATGGTGGCTGGCATGGTCTCTGTTGGGCTGGGCGGGCCCGTGGACCTCATCAAGATCCGGCTGCAGATGCAAACACAGCCATTTCGGGAAGGTAAGAGGCCAGGGAAGGGGAAGCCTGGTGTCTGGGGACCTTGACTCTTTCCTGGGTGGCTGAATCTGGGATGGAGTTTTTAACATCCTTGTTATTGAGCAGGGCACTCATGTTATCATGTCATGTTCTAGAGATGTTCTAAAAGGCCACTGTACAGAATCCAGGTTGCACCCTAATCCAATAATCCTGACCACATGTGCTGCACCCTAATTCCCAGAGACAGGAATCTCACACACATATGCACAGACACACACACACACACACGCGCACACACACACACGTGCACACACCTTGCCTCTGGCTCTTCCTCCATGTGTGTTCTTATTACTCTAGTTGTAGTAGTAACTGTCATAAGTCAAGTCTTTGGTACATGACAGGTTAGTGGCAGGTACCTGCTGACAGCTCTGCATGTGTTCACTTAATTCATCTTTGTGACAGTTCTGTGAGCCAGGTGCTACCATTGCCTCTGTTTTACAGATGAGAAAACTGAAGTTCCCAGAGAAAACTGTTTCTCAAGAACACTTAGTGACGGCGAGCAAAGGCCAGCTACATTATTTGACAGCGCCCCATGTCAAATGAAAATGAAAGGACTGATTGTTGAAAACAACAGCAAAAAAAAATAGTTAGGAATTTTACCATTAACCCAAGCATGGAGCCTGTGTGGTCGCACGGCTCTTGGCCTCATGACGCTGTCCCTGGCTGAGCCGGGACTCATACCCCGATCCATCCTACTCCAGAGCTGCTGGTCTTAGCATTGCCTGTCCCACACACCTGTGCATCCTCTCCCACCCTCCCTGGCTCCTGGCCCTCAGAGCCACTAGAACTTCATGTTCTGGCGAGTGAGTGGCATGGCTACTGCTTTAGCACAAGCACAGCGCCATGCTATTCAAACCCATGCCTGGGAGTCAAAAGCGGAGCCCATTCTTAAACAATAACGTTTTAGGGATGTGCTTCCAGTCCACCTCCTTCCTAGAACTGAAGCTGTTTTTGTTCATGAAGACTCTGTACAAAGACTGAGGTGGCCCAGTAACAAGTGCCCAACTCACCTTAGCCTCAGCTGCTACAAAATCCGTGTCTGTGGGCCGGGAGTGGGACCTCCTGGGTCTGTATCTCTACGCCACCTCCCGCTAGGGCAGAGAGACCCCCAGTTACAGAACCTCTCTCGGCTCCCCCCTCTACAGGCCAGGTGTGGGTAGAGTAAGGCAGGTCTGGTCACCAAGGGAGATATTTCTCAAGAAATACTGTCCTCCAGAAGGCCTGGGACTCCATTCCTCCTCTCTGGGGAAGAGCTTTCTGTCTTTTCCTGGGAGTGGCTTTGACAAAGCAAGGAGGAAACAACAGAAGGTGCTTGGTGTGCAGAGTCCTGAGCATCAGCTCTGGAGGAGAGACAAGCTGGGCATCATGGAAGATAGACTTCAGTACCTCGGGCTTTCCTTCTCAGGCCTTCCACTAATTTTCAGTCTCCGCAGGCAGGATAAAACCCTTCCTGGGCCTCTGTCTCCCTTTCTGTGTGGAGGAAGTGCTGGACCTGAGGTCCCTCTCTGGATAAGTCCCCTCTCCCTGGAAGCCTCCGGAATGTCCTCCATGTGACCCCTCCGCTCATAGAGGCTGGGGTTAACCCATGTGTCACAACGGAAGCACCCAAAACTCACTCAGGAACATCCCAACTCAATACCCAACCCCCTGCCAGGTGATGTCCAGAAGAGGGCCCACACCTGCTCAGAACAGGAAGCTGATGTTCCCTGTCAGGACGGGTGGAGGGCCTGAGGCATGGCTGCCCCAAGGATGTGTCTCACCAGCCAGTGTGCGCAGTTACCTTCAGTATGTAGGGTTACCAGGGTGACAAGGAACAGGCAGAGCCTCACCTTTATCTACTTGATGTAGTCAACTTAGTTGGATTGAAGGCCTATACCCTGGAGGAATGTTTCAAATTTGCTGATGTGGTCCTGTCCCCAGGAGTGAAAGCAAAGATGTAGAGGGATGAAGAACGTGGTAAGCAGAGTCAGCTCCCACACTGGCTGTTTTGTCTGCCCTCTCTTCTCTAGAAATGCCTTAGTCTCTGATGAGAGGAAACCTCTCCTTAAGTCAAAAAGCTGTTTGGGATCCAGGTGCTGAAAGATACTCAGGGATGAGGCTCCTGTGCTCCTGAGAGCAGCTCCCCCCGCCTTCCTCACCTGCATCTTGTCCCTCTAAGTGTCCCTTGGCTGTGTGGACACCAAGCCCTCTGGTGACTGCAGGTGCCTGGCAGTGTCAGCCACTGAGAAGGGGTAGGAGGCTGACAGGAATAGGAGGCAGTCATTTTGGCCAGGAATCGCTCCAGAAAATGAGGAAGGATGTGGTCTTGAACTTCTTTTTCAGGAACCCTCTCAGCCAGAAGTAGAACACTCAAAGACCAGCTAGGACCAAGGAGATCACATCAGTGAGCCAGAGGTACCCAGGGAAGCTGCCCTCTTCTATTGTTGTTGAGACTCAAGACTCGTGGCCCTCCTATCAGATTTCCTCTTTTGATTGAAACATGAACACAGGGCATATTCCATGGTTTGCCTCCCTCTGCTGTTTGAAAGGCAGCAGCAGCTCAGGCACAGGGTGACAGATGAGGTGTCCGGGAGGTGGTCACAAGTGGTGGAGACTGTGGCCCACATCTACCCGAGGGCATGGCTGTCACTGCTCCACCTGACGATCATGGAGCCTCTGATGATCCTGTGAGGCTGTGAGGCGCTTCAGTTGGAAATTGTCAGGTGATTCAATTAAAAGTGACAATAAACACCAAGGGAACACAGTGTAGCCCAAAGCTATGTGAATTGAATGGAATGAGGCTGGGGCCCAGCTGTAAGCAAATGGTCTCTGTTCTGGGTCACCCTTCTCTGGGTGGTGACTTTGCTGGTCAAGGGCATTTCCAGCAGCCTTGGGCACAGCTTGTGGAATCTTTCTTGGCTTGTGATTTTACCCCCAAATTGCCAGTCCAGGTCCAGAATAATGACCATGTGATGTGATGGTCAGTAAGTACTGAAGCCAGGTGCCAAAGGCTTTGGCTTCTCTGCTTTGAGACACGTGACAAGTAGACCAGAGGCCACATTGGGGAGAGAGCCCAGTTCATCTGGCTGGGGGCTGGCAAAGAGAGAGTTAGTGACTTCTTCCTGGGTGTCTACGGGTAGTGACTCAGGGTCTTTCATACTGGGGCAGCAGTGTAGAGCATGATTTCGCTGAAAATTTACAAACTACAGAGCATCAAAAGGAGAGAGAGGAAATGCTTATCTCCCAAATACAGCCCAGAAGTGGATGCACACTGTCACCACGTTAATATGCTTCTTTTTCCGATTCTATATACTCAAGCTAGTGATGGCAAGAGATTGTACTCAGGCTCTA